TAAAAAAACTTCCTTCCTTCTGTTTTATTTATTTATTTGTGTGTGTCTTTCCATTTTCTTTACCACCCATTTAGGAGTTTGATTGGAGGAGCATCCATAGCTGGCCACAAAAAAAAGAGCCATTCATTGGATTGAGTACGATTTTATAGCAAGCCCAGTAAGTCTCTATAGAATAGCACTTGTCCACAAAAAATTAAATGTTGTTGCATGCAAGTGAAATTTGGTATAACATTTCTAAAATTTTAAGACAAGTCGACGTCAACTTTAAAAGTTCAGTGACCAAATCCGATCACCTTAAAGTATAGTGAGCAATCAAAGATGGTTTCAAAAGTATGACGTGCAATCGAATATATCTTTCAAATTATAGTGAGTAATCAAAGAAATTTTTCTTACGTGACAATTTACATAGAGTGTGTTTGGTAGGAATTTTTGGGAGAAGAATTGATTTTTGAATAGTGATATGATGGGAAATGTGTGGTTGAAAAAGAAGAAAAAATTATTGATGTGATGGAAAATATTATTTTATTGAAGAATGTGTGGTTGAAAATGAGNTGTTTGAGAGAGATTTTTGAGGGAAGAAATGATTTTGAATAGTGATATGATGGGAAATGTGTGGTTGAAAAAGAAGAAAAAATTATTGATGTGATGGAAAATATTATTTTATTGAAAAACGTGTGGTTAAAAATGAGAATTGATTTGCTGTAGAAAATGAGAATATGTATCAAACAGGCTCATAATAGTGTTTGGGTAGTGCCTGTGCATTCCATATGCTATAACACCAATTTCATTAGAGTTGTGAAATGGAAGTCATGCCGTGAGTAACATTCATCATTTTGATAAATTTTGTGATCAAAACTCGACATCTGAAATTTTAATGAACACTCGAATACACAAACATAAGTTTAATGATTATTTTGACAATTAACTCATGAAAAGCTAGTTACTATATAAAAAATTTCTTGTTAATTTTGTGGTTTAATTAAAGAGTAGAATATTTCTATTTTCAATTGTCCTAATTTATCTTCATATATTTATTTTGTAATATTTGTTTGAAGGAATTTCTAAGTATTAGCCCATATGATAAAGTAAAATATGATTTCATAACATTAGATATAGAAAGACTATATGGATTATTTAACAGGGATTTGACGGTGTTTGTCAAATAAGTGAGATGTTAGAGGCCAATTTGCTAAAAGAGCAATAGATTGGGGACCAATGATGAAAATTTCTCTTTGGAAAATATGTGTATCCCCACTAGAGACGTGAATGCATTGGGGAACTGTGGTGGGGCCAAGTGGTGTTTGGCTTTTATCAAACTGTAATCAAAAGCAGAAAGAACAAGGATTATAATGGAGTGGTGGGTCCCATTTGGTATGGTTTGTGGGGTAGGGGGTTTGGGTGCAAATTGGGTTCGTTGTCACCTCTTAAACATTCCAGACCAATCTTGAGGTGGGAGAAGTTTGTGGAGA